ATTAAAAAACTAAAATGCAAAATGAAAGTTATCAATTTTTTGTATAAATGAGAGTAGCGGGCGTCTGGGCAGGCTAGGCAGACGCTGAAGCAGGTTTAGACGTATTTTCTTAATTCTCAAACTCCTAATAGCTAATTGGAACGATAGACGTTAGACGGAGATTTTTATAATAGTGAATACATATGTTCAAACAAATTATATATAAGCGTTGGATAATATTAGGAATGAGTTGTCACAGACGAAGTAGATTACTGAAAATGGAATGGAAGGCAAAGACAAGAAGTCCGGAAATCCCGGTTAATGACGAAAGGGAGTAACTGATTAGCGACTGTAATCCGCGGGCGAAGGCGACAGAAACGGACAGACAAAGAGGGTCACATTTGAGAGGGAGGTGGGTCCCATCCCCCTGAAAGCTTTTGAGTTTGAGGAATTTGGTGGCACATGGAAAACTTGCACAAAGTTTACGTGTACTCCAATACTGGAGACAAGAACCATGGCATGTGGGTCCCAGGCCCTTCTTTCTGAATAAGGATCTTTTCGTGATGATTATGGGAATTTTATATATTCACCGTATATCGTGAGATCAGTTTTCGTCAGGTACTATTTGTATTTAATTTTAAATAAAAAAATCAAATGATTTATGATCGCATGATGTACGATGAATGGTTAACATATAAGGATCTCTAAGATCCCTATAATTTGGATACAAATGGGGTCCAAATCCCTAGTTTTCTTGGGAATTCGTTCTTCACCTCTCTCAAAGAAGAGATGTTTTAATTGAAACATTAACAAGCACAGTGCAAAACAAGACGTTTCTTTGCATGATTGTAAGTTATTTTATACTCTTTTATTATATCATTAGCTATTTCTTTTTTTTTTCTTTTTTTTAATAAAAACGAATTAGACGAGATTATCTCTTCGTCACTGTGTTATCTTTACTTTGTGTTTCTTGTTCCAGAATATTCATTTGAAGATTATCATGGAGGTTCCTTAATTATTAGTGTTGGAGACAACTTGACTCAAGACTTTGAAGACAATTTGACGATATCATGGGCTGGACGTCCTTGTTATGAATGAAGTTAGCGGAATTGGTGATGGATTGTAAATTGGATTGGAAAAGCTGTTGATTCAAGTTGATTATACTTCAGGCTGGTTTGGTATTGATGTGCTTTAAAAAAAAACTGTTTATGTTGTACTGTGTGAATAAGCTTATTTTTGCTGTTTCATGTTTTCAGCTTTGTTTACCCAAAACTGTAAAAATAAGCTATTTTTAAATGATACCAAACACCTTTTTAAGCTCAACTTTTTTTTATACCAACTTTTTATAAAAACACCTCAATATCAAACCACTACTTCCTCTCAAGATATAAGTTGTATGTGTGCCGCTCATTTTTTTTTTAATCTTAAAGTTTTGTCCCACTTGATTTATTTTAAAAAGGTTTTTTTTTTTTTTACTAAGGCTTACTTCACTTCACTAATATGCAACTTGTCGACAGAGGTATCAATATTATGGAAGGCTTTGTATTCTCGTGATAGGTTTGAAGATTTTAGCGTATTTTTTGTTTCTTTATACCATGTGATACTATTTTCAGACAGCATATCTTTTTATAATATAATTTTAATTGCTGAAATTTACTTTTGATTTTATATTATTTTATGATGCCACGAATAAAACACCTTTCTTGTAAAAAATATTATATATAAATAAAATCAAAGTTAAAAATAAAAATGATGAGACGGATCCAGGGTCGGAACTGGACCGACCATGGGGGCCAAGCTTTGAGTTTCAAGCATTGAAATCACCAAACGACACTTTTCCATCCATCACACGCTGCCACGGGGACAAATCACAGCCATTCTTTCCTACCCACGTGTCCACTGCCCACTGGCCGTATCATTTTGCCGGCCACATTCCCCCTCTCACCATTAGATATATTGTGCAGGGCAGCAACAAGCCGGCTAAAATCTTGCTGGTCAATCCATCACATTGAAGCAAAAACCAAAAGCAAAGTAAAAGCTCACAAATGTCACCGGAAGTTAAGCAGCAGTCGCCGGCCGGACTGAACTACGACGAGACCAAGCTGACCTTAGGGTTGCCAGGTTCGGGCTCGAAACGTGGATTTTCAGAGACCGTTGATCTTAGTCTTGGGAGCTCAAGCTCATCATCGTCAGGAGCAAGGGTGGAATGTTGTGATCAAGGTTGTGTTGATGATGGTGGGATCACTACTCATAAGGCTCCAGCTGCAAAGTAAGTTTGTCCAGATTAACTTATTGTACAATTCATTTACATGAAACTTGAAATGCTTTACGATATTCTAAACTGCTCTAATATAACGGGGAAACTAACTTTGGTGAAGGGGACGGACGCACTATCCTGGCCAACTGGCCTAACCTGAATTTTCTTTAATATTTTGAGTTGTTTGAGGGGAGTTTTTTTTTTTTTTTTTTTAATTTTTATGGCCACATGAATATTGAAATGGGTTTTAAGGATGCTCATATGAATTGACTGTACTATTTACATGAAAATTTGAAATGGTTTTTCTTTGATATTCAAACTTTTAATGTGTGATGGAAAATTTACATGAAAACTGAAAAGGGTTTTCTTTTCTTTCAATTTTATGATTACAATGTGTTTTGATGGACATTCTGTGTGAATATTTCAGGGCACAAGTGGTTGGTTGGCCACCGGTCAGAGTTTCAAGGAAGAACTTGATGAAGAGCTGCAAGTATGTGAAAGTGGCAGTTGATGGAGCTCCATATCTGCGCAAGGTTGATCTTGAGATGTACAATAGCTATCAGCAGCTTTTGGGTGCTCTTGAGGACATGTTTTCCTTCTTAACCATCCGTATGTTCTCTACTTTCTAAAATTTCTAGAATGGACCGGCGCATAGTACGTACTAGGTTTTTATCTTCATTTTTCGAAAGATCCATCGGTGCAATGTATATTCTAGATGAACACATGGATGTGCGGTCAAAGATCTAATACCTAAAGATTCAACAGCCATGAATCGCGACGCATACTATGCTATGGCTTTTTTTTTTTTTTTTTTTAAGCCGACTTCCTAGTTTTCGTGTCTCATGGTGTATTACTGTTACTGCAGGTAATTGCTTAAATGAGAGCAAGCTTATGGACCCTGCAAATGGAGTGGAATATGTACCAACTTATGAAGACAGAGATGGGGACTGGATGCTGGTGGGAGATGTACCATGGAAGTAAGATTTCAGTCTCTCGTCTAATGTTACCGAACTGTGAATTAAGACCGCAAGTTCAAAAAATCCGTACATTCACGTAGTAATGTTCTTGATTCATGATCTGACAATTGTACATATTTACTTAATACCGATCCCTTTTTTATTCCTTGAATAGAATGTTCGTGGAAACATGCAAGCGACTCCGATTGATGAAAAGCTCGGAGGCGATCGGATTAGCTCCGAGCACGCCTCCGCGATGCAGAAGCACAAATTGAAGGAGGCTCTCTCGTGTTGTTTGGGGAGTTTTGATTAGATTAGAAAGAAAGAAAAAGATGACAAAAATAAAGTTTGCATTTTGCCAATTTTGGTATTTAATGCACTTGATGATGGAGGGGTTTTCTCCCCAATTTTGGGTTTATCACTTTTTTCGTCTTTTTTACTTGGATTGTATACTTAATTAGATACACACTAATATCTATTTAGATTTTTATTTTTGTTTCTGCATATTTTAAGCTTCGATATCGGTTTCAGAGACCATGTATTTTGTTTCTTTGTTTATTTTATTTTTTCTGAGATTAGTATTTAAATTCAATTTAAAATGAGACGAGCATAGTCAGATTCTATAGGTTTTTGCATCAAGTTCTCAATGGAATCTGAAAATATAATTCTTGGCGGGAGTTGTTATTAAAACTTCGAAAAAGTCATTCACTTCAAACAACTTATAAAAACACAAAGGAAACGTTCGTATAGGGTGCGTTTGGTACGTGGGACGGGACGGGACGGAACGGGACGAGGCGTTCCGTCCCGCGTTTGGTGCGCCAAAAATGGGTGGAACGGGTTGTTCCACGGGACAGATTTTGGGTGTTTTTGCATCCCACCTCCACCCCCTGGAACGGGTTTGTTCCACGTCTGTGGAACACAATGTTTTACCATTTTAAGACAAATATACCCCATGTCTTTTTCAAAAATTACACCTTCGTTCCGTCCCGTCCCGTCCCGTCCCGTCTGCGTACCAAACGCACCCATAAGGAAATGTGTAGGATGACCAGTTTGAGCCAAACTTGTCACTCTCAGTTTTTACCATTTTTGTGGGGATTAAGAGGAAATTTTTCTTCCTGATTTTTTCTTTGGACAAAATAAGCAAGTTGACACTCATATTTTCTTTAATTTATTCTTATCCAAACCAAATCAGTTGTAGACAACAAACGAGGCCTGGTTTCTTTAATTTATTCTTAGCGACACAAGATTATTTTTTATTTTTTATTTTTTGGAAGAAAGGTAAATTCATTACTAACAAAACATAATTAGAAGAAAGAAGGTCGGCACACCGCTTTCCATCCAACAGAAACCAACGTCCCCTGCAAACCTCTGAAATCCAGCCATACACAGCCCCATACATGGATGAAAAGAAGACTCCAAATTCCATAAGAGAGCACAACATCGTTTGCCACCACGCAATGAAAGAAACCAGTGGGTAGAAACGCACTAGCATCGGTGCCATCAAAGACATCCTAAAGGAAGAAGGTAGAGCCGGAGCTCTAAACAACTTCAAAGAGATCCGCCAGAAATCACGTTGTAATTGCGAAAAATCGTGATGAGAAAAAACCGAATTGTTGGATCAATGAAAGATGAAGCCGATTGGAAACGATATGAAGTGGATTAGGGGAAATCGTGTAGGTGGAAGGGGGGGGGGGGAATGAAAATACGGACCGGGCACAGTGACAGATGCAGAAAAGAAAACGGAAGAAGAAAAGGGAGAAGAGGACGAGGGCTGGCGGCTGGAAGGAGGATAAGGTAGCGACACAAGATTTTGAACAACCAAGCAGCAAATCCTTTACAAGTTTTGTTACCAATTTGCCAAATGGATATTGGCGGGAATTGTAATTACACAATATTTCTTTACATTGAAATGTTTTTCATTACATGATGCTTCTGTAATACCAGGCACCCATACCAAATGACATCTCCAATAAATCAAAATTGGGCTTCAACGGATCTCATCTCTCAAATTATTTCACCTAGTTACCAAGGATAGGGTTCCTTCCCTCATCGATTTCCACGACGATGAGGTGCTTTGAGTCCGACCCTTCTGGTCCTTCGGAGTAAAGGGTGGGAAGGTAGGCATTGTATGCTGGCAAGTATCGCGAAACAAAGTCTTTTACCTGCAAAATCGAGCTCTCAGATAGAAAACATCAGTTTCAGGTTATGGAACCGACTGCAGATTCTGAAGACGGCTTATAAGATACAAATATAGATAGACTGGCAACCTCATCGTCGGACATTCCCGGGTTCCCTGCCTCTCTCATGGCAATCTCAGCCTGCAAGTTTGGGGCAACACTTGTAAATTAAAAAATCACAGTAGAAAAAAAGAACTTAAAGAACAGGTAGACTGGAGTTTATCGCAGGATGATGTTAACATGAAAGCTAACCTGCAAACGCCACTGGTAGACACAGCTCGGGTCCTTGATCTTGATAATTATCCATGCTTTAATGAACTTGTACCATGCATCATAATACGCTTCAAGATTTTTATTTACTGTCTCTAGCTGTTTAGTGGAAATTTAAATTTAAGAACCAACTGTCTTTAGTATACTGAAAACCGCTGATGAAGTTTGTGCACAGCACAAGTAATATTAACAAAGCCAATCAAAATATTTTCTGTTTTCTAACCTGTGGATCAACTGCTTTGACAACTTCCAAGGGAAGGGGTTTGAAGCCAAGCATCCAACCTTCAAAGAGAACAACCTACATGCCCAGCCAAAACCCAAATCAATTGCAAGGTGAATAATGCTATTCTATACAAAACCGACCGATACCACCTAATGATTACCTTTGGATTGACCTATTGATTTCACATCCAAACCCTAATTATTACTTCTAAAAAAACACTTCAACATAGCATTTGTCTGCCCTTGATTCTTGATATGTTCAAACATCTATCTTCATACAATCAGGTAGCTATATGGGTGATACAATTTGCATCAACTTAAGCCACTGACTGCGAGATATAATGAAAAATCCTCTTACAGACTTACTGTAAGTGGCCCTTCAACCTCTGGCCATGTTGAAGGATCAGCCCTGTCGCCTTTTCCACTGTAAGCAGACTGCAACAGGAAACAAGTTATAAAGAGCCACTTTGAACTAAAATCTGGTTTAGAGAAATAATGAAGAAGGAAAGCAATTTTCACGGTTGTGCACCTTATCATATCGGGGTAGCTTCATCTTCATACCTGAACAATTTTTTACGTGAATAATTATAAAACAGGCATGTTTCTGTAGCAGAGGAAAATGAATGATGGAGAATCACCTTGTTTACTTAATTTAGTTAGAGCAGACAATGCTTCAACAGAGAATGGAAGATCGTGACTGCCTGCATTTCCACGTAACTACAGAAACAGAAGAACAAGACATGTTATTGCTAAGAAAACGTTTTCAGCTCCTAGTGAGTTACAATGTCAACTATCAGTTGAATTACTTGAAAAGGAATTGATTGCTACCTCTAAAAGTGCATTTCCTGGATTTTCTTCTCTTAGTTTAGCCTACAAATAGTACAATATCCCATTAGAAAACAAAAATATAAAGAAAAATGCAACACAAATCCCCCGCTCAAACATACCTGACCCTCTGCTGTCAAATAAAAGTCATCAATGGATATTGAGGCAGACTTCCTGAGAATTGAACATACAGTAAGCAAAACAAAATTCCTTTATTTTTCATGAATAATCAGGAGTATCAGTTGTTCATAGCTAACCTGCCTGTGACTTTAAAAAGATAACCAAGAGCAAAGACAAGTGTAGTCTTTCCACAACCTTGTGGTGCACTGAAACCAATCTGCATCACAGACCCAAAATCAGCACCGCACAATGAAACAAAACGAAAATATAAGAATGGCATAAATGAAATCATTGATGTGGAGACCGATATATCTTAAAAGTACAAAAAATGACGGGGGATAATATGAATAGAAAGTGATGTACCACTAGGGGTGGAATATCATCTCCAGCTTTGTACAAAGATCTGTGCTGAGAAATCTGATCCTCACACCAAAAAAATACCGGAATATAGTAGTGATACAACCTAACTTTCTGAGGCTCGTTCAGATATAATTCATTGAGCTGAAACAGCCGGCACAGGTGCAACCCATATGACAACCACTTGTCAATGGACTCCGCCACTGCTTCTGGGGTCAGACCCAATTTGTCTATCAAAGGACCTGAGCATATAAATTTAAAAAGGTCCTGCACAGAAGAAACTACTGCAGGCTTCGTAGGAAACACAGAATACAATGGACCCTCCCCACAATCACTGCCGGCAGAATTGTTGTGACGCATGGAATTGTCTTGCATCCAGGAACATCCACTGCCTGCAAGTAGAATCCCGAACATAGAAAGAGGTGAAGACCAGTCATGAGCCTGCCGACACCATTACAAATTATTTTGCAGCGACAAAATTTCAATTGCAGCATTCAGACCATTTTGCTTGACCCATTAGTAATAATTCACATCGTAAATCTATCTGCCAACCTAAATCCATATACTATTTATTTTCAACGAACAAAAGTTTCTTTTCCTTCTAATTTTGTTAAATCAAAGGAAAATAATACTCTTCAAAACCAAAATAATAAAAAAATTATTCAGAATGTACTACTAACAAAAGATGGCACACAACCATAATTAGGACCTAGAACTAGTACTGCTGTAAGACTAGTTAACTCTACCAAATCAGCAATTCAACATACAACCGAACAATAAACTTGACAGCAGTTAGGAGATCTTTAGGTTCAATAAGAAGTGTAGTCATATCGTAGTAAGAATTAAGAAAAGCACACAAGAGTCAGTTGAATAACATGGGTAGGGATCATGAGCACATAATCCACCCCAACTAACTAACGCATACACCTCAATAATCAGTTAAATCCGAGGATGAGATGGGAACTTTTTTTAAAATTCAGGTTTCAACCAATGGAAGATATAGAATTTTTAAAGGAACGCTTGACACAAAATATGGATAAGTGAGGCGGCAATACAAAAACCCAAGTGCAACTAGTTAAACAAGCTCGTCACCCGTTAAACTCCACAAAGAGATAAGAGCAGAACTAATAAGCTCAGAAATATATAAAAGTCCATCCAAAGATACAAACTCTTCAAAAGTTGATATGAGCATATCGTGACCGAAATTGAAGGAATCCATCCACAAGGCTTTTAATAAATGATGCCTGATCAAACACATTGCAGTAAAATGCTAATATCTTAGACTTACTGTGTTGGAAATTAGACACACTGCGCTAAAATGCCAAGGGTAAGCTAGCAAGACCAAAATTTTAAACCAAATTTGCAAACCAAATGATGTGTCACCAATAAGAAATAAACACATTAATCAATGATTAAGTAATAATCCAATCATCAACAAACACATCATTTGGTTTGTAAATTTGGTTTTAAAAATTTGGTCTTCCTAGCATTATCCAAATGCCAATATCTTTAGACTTATTGTGTTGGAAACTAGACACACCTTTTCATTGGTGCTGGCTTGCATTCTAATTTTCTTCAATAAACACAGTTTTATTGCAAAAATATCCCAAGTAAGTGAGATTTGTTATTTCAAAACTTAAACTGGGCTCAAAATTATTGCGGAGACTTGGAAAGAGACTTTAAGAAAAGACACGGAGTACTTGAGCTAATGGAAGACAAGGCGCAAAACCGAGCGCAATGGCGTTCTAGTATTCATACAACAGACCTCATTTAGTGGATAAGGCTTTGTTATTGATGTGTGTCAGGTGAAATTAACCCTTATGACATGTATGGGCTCCCTTCAGGGTACCCTGGTGTCAGGACGAACACCCGTGGAGTAACTGATTTCTGCCAATCAACCATTCAATAATCCCTTTAAATAACAATGCACTTGTTGATCAATGTTAATTATCCCATCACAAAAGCTAAATAAAACAAAACAACATTATATTGCAAGAATATTTGGTTTCAGTTCTTTATTTGAGAAATTAACAAAGGAGCATCCCATATTCAATTCCAAAAATTGGTAACTTTTCTTTCACAATCAAAAGCAGAATGATATGAAGGTTACAGGAATCAAATTCACATTGAACAGTAGAAAAAACAGAAGTGAAAAAAATGAAATTACATCTGGAAACAGAAAAATTACCAGACTTGGAGAATTGGGCGGGCATTGGAGAGAGCTTGGATGGTGGGTTTGGTCCATTGAGTGAGGAGACAGCTGAGTAGCGATAAGAATGTAATTTACTATTATTAGCGTTGGACTTATTATTATTATAATTATTTAAAATATAAAAAGAATTAGTATTGGAATTGGAAGCATAGAGAGATGTTGTGGGCGGCCATGGCTGAGATAAGATGTTCACAGCTGCCATCTTCATCGCTCTCTCTCTCTCTCTCTCTCTCTCTCTCCTCTCCCTTTCTCTCTTGATTATGTTTTCTAACCAGAAACCAGTGGTTATGTGGAGTGGAAAAATCTTGATTCTGCTAAGGTACTATAAGACCCTTATTTATTAGTGTTGTCTCTTTCCTTTAAACATACATCTTCAAATTACTACAGTCCACTGTTATTCTTCTTCATTTATAAGTGGGAGATTTTATATTCAATTCCCGCCAAAAACAAATTTGATCATATTATTACTAGTCAATTGTGAGACGAAATCCAACCCCGTCCCCTTTAATGATAATATTGTTTGTTTTAAAAATAAATTAAAAATTTTTAAAAAAAAAAGCAGTTAGCAAATTTCTTTTTTTGGTCAGAAAACAAACTTCATTAAGATAAAGGGAGAATTACAAATGTTATAGATGGACTAAGTCCAAACAAAACAATACCCTTAAAAACCAAAGACAGATAAAAGAGTAAAAAGACCCAAGTAAAAGGAGAGTTACAACCAAGATATAATGAGAGGTCCACATAAACTTAAGCCTACCAAAGGCAAGCAACAACAGAGAAACCCTAAACTGAAGCCAGGGATCCGCAGCCGCTGCTGCCTCATCCCTGACCCCGAACTAAAATCTAGATCAGAGAATGTTCCGCAAGATCAATCCACCAAGAATCACTTCCGCAACCACACTTGTGAAGAAAGTCACCGCAAGGAACAAAAGGAGGGGAGGGCAAGGGGTGTGTAAAACACCCTTGTTCCGACGTGAATCGTTCAACAAAGTAGATGACACTTTATCGCAAATTTTTTTTATAAGTGTACTTTACTACCCATTTGGCACTTTTATGCTACTTAAAAAATTTGTCACTTCACTTCAACCAACTATTCATTTTCTCTCTCACTATAAAGTATTATCATCTTAAATTCTTTACTAAACAATATTTTTGAATCATTCAACAAAGTAGGTGACATTTTATCACAGCGTCGAAAAGCAATCATGCCTATTCTCCTTGGGGCGCGGTTCGACTCCACCAATCTCCCTCCTCCCTTTACAACGAAAAATTTAACTCCCTAACACTATCGTTTATAAAATTAAAAAAATTAAAAAAAAAATAAAAATCTACAAAAAAGTGCTTTTAAATAAAATATATTGTGGAACCCAACTTACTAACATCGTTGGAGATGCATTTTTCTTGTGTGGCATGGCAAATGTAACTTTGCTATCTAATAGTTACCTCCCTTGGAGATACAAAGCTCAACTGTCATCTTATTTTACTTACACCTCCAAAGGTATATACTAATATTATAGATGTAAGTTAAATCAGTAGGTTGAAACTATATACTAAACTGAAGTAGTTATCTATCGATTCTTCTCATACTTACAAAACCCCTAAAGGTCTGATTAGAGAAATAGCTTTTCTAATCCCTCTTAAACAGAACTTCCATCCTTTATTTACCCATTTAAGAATTAATACTCACGAACTTTCAACTAGAAATCAATACTCTAAGTGAGCAAAGTCCAACGACCAATGCACTTTGAATCAAACATAAGGTTTAATTTGATTTATATCCTTTTTAATGCTAGTATTGGAGAGTGGCAGTTGACCACAAATCCAAAGTCAATCTCATTAGGCTTATGTAAGACTATTAAGTTCTGATCATGCAACAAGGAAACTTGCATTCAAACAAAAATATGGTTCATTAGATTAAAAGCTTTGGCTGCATAAGTTACATCTCACTAATTAATTAGGGTCCTGAAAAACTTTACAACTTAATTAAACCGAGGACAACCTGATTACGCGCTGGATTAAACTGAACTCAACATAATGACGACGACTATTAACAATTCATGTAACCAAGTTTCATACTTAAGTGGCCAGACAACCTTAGTTCACTTATAGCACAGACCCAGGTCGGAAAATCTATGAACATGAATTAAGAAATTGGATAAAATGAAGGTGGTCTAGCACAACCTCTTGGAGTGTGATTGAAAAAAAAAAAACCAAGGAAACTTCTGTCCGGAAAGTGTACATGTCACAGTCTCTGTTAGCTCTCCCTTAAAATCATCTTCAAAATAGCGTTTCAAGGAGTTTCGGGGATGACAAACCCGCCACAGATTTGTACTGCCGTAACAAAAACCACATCATTAGCAGAAAACTCACATAACATTCCAAGTCTGGTGTAATGAAAATTCATACGGAGTTTAGAAACGTTAGCAGTTGTTTCAAATTTGTGCTATTTGATACCTTTTGGTGTCTATACTTCATGCGCACGGCATTCAGAGGACAACCACTAGTGTTCAACTGTAATTCTTGCAAAGCAAGAACTGTGACCTTCAAATCCAATGGCTTGTAACGAGTATAGTATTCGAGTATTGGATTCTGTTAGAGTTGCACAACGGAAGTCACATTTCCAGTATATAATCAACACGCAGGAGAAAATAATGATGCTAGAAAGAGGAAAGACAAACCCATGGGTGGCTGGACTGATCCAAGGTCCATTTGGAAAGAAAAACAGCTGATGCAGCAATGACAGACGGAAGGAAATTCAAGAAGCTATAGTCAACCAAAGTTAGTTCAGCAAGATAATTGGCCAAGTACTCCAGTTCAAGGCTAGGACTCTGCAAAAAAAATAATGATTCCATCGGTATGTCTTTCTTCAAATCAAATGTCAATAAATAAAAAAGCATGGTATCTGTAAACCAAGGCCAAAAGCAACTTTAACTAATCAGGGTACCTTATAAGAAGCTTGAGCTGCTCGAAGAAATCTCCTGAGGAACGTTTTTGTAGTTGGTGCAAATAGTTGAAAACCAAAATACTTCAGTACTTGACTCTCCATTTTCAGCACCTGCAACGTTTCTTTTTTTTAGGAATGCAATGAAAAGAATTTTAACAGGGCAGAATAAACCCGAAGCCCTAAAACCCTTAAGGATTTAACTATGAAATAAACACATGCAAGACCTGCCACAGGCTTTCGGTTTTCAGTATAAAAAGAGAGGGAGGTTCAGGGTTAAAGATTTTTCTCATAAACTTCAGACCTATGACTAAAAGGCATCTTGCCTTCTCCCCATGTGTAGCAGGGACAAAAGGATAAAGTTGCATGATCCTACAAGGTCATTTTCATTTCCTCTATTTATGTGCAGAGGTAGACATTATACTACTTTAGAGCATCCCATGGCAAGCGTTTACTCATTCAGAAGAGGTTTTCCTCATCAGTATATAAATTCCTCATAATTGAACCAGTCTTTTGGAGTAAGAATGGACAATGACATACCTCCTCTCTCGAGTAAGTGTTGTCTGTCATGAAACAAAGTTCTTCAACACGTGGTGCACAAATTTCTTCATATTTCCTGAATAAGATTAAAAAGAGAAGAACCACATCAGCAATCTCATAAACAACATTTGACAGATATCATGTCTGCAAAATGAATTTGAATGAACCCTTTGAAACTAATTATATACAATCACTTGCAAGTGATTCGTAACTAAATCAATTTATCATATTAGTCTATAAATCTTATACAGTTATAGAATAAACTTTATTGTGTCGGTACTTATTTCATCCAACATATATTTCCCTTTCCGTTGCCGCACAAAGCATTTGAATGAACCTTTTGAAACTTCGTATTAAGCAACCATCATGCAATATTTTGGTTAAGGTTTCTTGTTTCCCATTAATGGTCCTTGTTGAAATGAAAGAGGCAAATTGAGGAAACTAATCTAGAATTTAAGGTGATGGTATATTGATGATATTTTTCAAATTGCACAAGCCTCGGAATATAAAGCATATTGCATTGATAAAACACGTTGGACAAATATAAATTGCTTCCGACTTCTGTGCAAAGAAGGCCTACTGACGCTCCGATTAGAAGATGCGACTATGGGACAGAGGTTCAGGGCCGAAGGGGTAGAGGAAGACCTAGGAAAACTTTGGAAGAGACTCTAAGAAAAGACTTAGAGTACTTGGATCTAACGAAGGACATGACACAGGATCGAGCACAATGGCGTTCTAAGATTCATATAGCCGATCCCACTCAGTGACTTGGATTTTCCAAGTCTCCAACCGAGAAGTTTTCCTCACTCGGGAAATTAAGGGAACACTACCCCAACCTACATGCTCCACTTAGAAAGCTTCAACATACAAGCTTCAACAAAAGAAAATTCAAAGAACTTAGCGAAGAAGGCTTTGGTGTATTTAACACAATACGTTGAAATGAAGGAAAGCTTATTTATTGATATCCCCGATAAGCTACAAATATGTACATATACATGAGTCAAAATAAACACACAAGAAGGAGCCTTCACAAAGGTTGCTTAGGAGAAGTCTCAGCAGTCGGTACTGGACAGAACCCTAGAAGGAGGAGGCATCAGAGGTTGATCATTCGGAGCTTCATTACGCGGTACAGCCCCAGAAGACGAAGGCAATAAATGCCTTTGGAACAAACCCACAAATCTCTGATGATCAAGTAAAACTTGACCATCAGTTTCCTTCATCTGGTCAAGCTTCCTCTTCATGTTTGTAGCATAGTCATGTGCGAGCCGGTGCAACTGTTTATTCTCATGCTTGAGCCCTCTAATCTCCTGTTTGAGACTCATCACTTCAGCCGCCAATGATTCAACTTGGCGGGTTCGAGCAAATAGGCGTTGGGCCATATTAAACACAGAACCTGCGCACTGAACACTGAAAGCCAGCGAATCCTTAACAGCTAACTCATCAGACCGTTTGGAAAGTAGTCTGTTATCTTTGGGAGTGAGAAGGTTCCTGGCCACCACCGCAGCGGTCATATCATTCTTCATCACGGAATCCCCAACGGTAAGAGGACCAGTAGGGGAGACGAAGGATGGGCGCCATATGTTGTCTGGAGAAGGCGGGGCTGCCTCTTCAACAAGGTTCAAGTCAAAACGACGGTCGGAGGGGCCAGACATTTTCAAAGGTGTTGAAGAGAGAAGAGGTCGGACAAATCAAGATCTTAGAAGTGCAAGAATGAAGCTTCTACTGGTGGAGATTCAAGTGTGCTTTGGAACTTAATGCCAGCCTCTATAAAAATCTGCACTCGACGGAGCTTCAGAAATCGAAGAGGCGCCTGCTCAGAAATCGAAGAGGCGTTTGCTTTCTCAAAAGTTGGGATGCTCAAAGACCACGAAGGCCGATCTCAAAAATCGAAGAGGCGCTCGCTTTCTCAAAAGCTGGGCTCCCCAGAGACCACGAGGGCCGATCTCAGAAATCGAAGAAGCACCTACTTTTCCAGTCTTGTCAGCACCTGTCACACGCACACTCAGCTTTGCGGAAATTATGGGCATTCTGTCGAAGACTTCTGGGGAAGTAGAAAACACATGAATCTTACTATCCAATCACCCACTTCCCACACGCAACAATAGCTCATGGGGTACCACAGATAACTTTGCCAAAGTTCTCTGCCAAAGTTGAGCACGTGAAGCTTGCAGCTCCCACTACATCGCTCTGACCAAGAAGGGTAAAAGAATAGCAAATAAACAGCACTAACAAAGTTTAGACCCATAAATTTTGAAGGTCTAGCTACCATATTATTACCCACAAGGGTAAAGGAACAGTACCACTGCTGGATAATTGGAAAGTCCCTGTGTGTCAACCTCTGTGCTTCGTGGCAAGGTAGACTAGCAAACATGCCCAACCTTTACTCACATTCGAGAAAACACTCCCAATAAGATTGCTTGCTCCAAAATCGACGAGGCACCGTCCTCCGAATCTCGAGAGCCAGACTCCCAACATGACTACTTTCTTAAAAATCGAAGAGATGGTAAAGGAACAGTACCATTGCTGGATAATTGGAAAGTCCCTGTGTGTCAACCTCTGTGCTTCGTGGCAAGGTAGACTAGCAAACATGCCCAACCTTTACTCACATTCGAGAAAACACTCCCAACAAGATTGCTTGCTCCAAAATCGAAGAGGCACCGCCCTCCGAATCTCGAGAGCCAGACTCCCAACATGATTACTTTCTCAAAAATCGAAGAGACACTGCTCCCCGAATCTTCGAGAGCCAGACCCCCAGCATGATTGCTTTCTAAAAAATCGATGAGGCATCGTTCTCCGAATCAATCGAAGAGGCGCTCGCTTTCTCAAAAGCTGGGCTGCTCAGAGACCACGAGGGCCGATCTCAGAAATCGAAGAGGCACCTACTTTTCTAGCCTTGTCAGCACCTGTCACACGCACACTCAGCTTTGCAGAAATTATGGGCATTCTGTCGAAGACTTCTGGTGAAGTAGAAAGCACATGAATCTTACTGTTCAATCACCCACTTCCCACACGCAACAATAGCTCATAGGTACCACAGATAACTTTGCCAAAGTTCTCTGCCAAAGTTGAGCACGTGAAGCTTGCAGCTCCCACTACATCGCTCTGACCAAGAAAGGTAAAAGAATAGCAAAGAAACAGCACTAACAAAGTTTAGACACATAAATTTTGAAGGTCTAGCTACCATATTATTACCCACAAGGGTAAAGGAACAGCACCACTGCTGGATAATTGGAAAGTCCCTGTGTGTCAACCTCCGTGCTTCGTGGCAAGGTAGACTAGCAAACATGCCCAACCTTTACTCACATTCGAGAAAACACTCCCAACAAGATTGCTTGCTCCAAAATCGAAGAGGCACCGTTCTCCGAATCTCGAGAGCCAGACTCCCAACATGACTACTTTCTCAAAAGCGAAGAGAGGGTAAAGGAACAGTACCATTGCTGGATAATTGGAAAGTCCCTGTGTGTCAACCTTTGTGCTTCGTGGCAAGGTAGACTAGCAAACATGCCCAACCTTTACTCACATTCGAGACAACACTCCCAACAGGATTGCTTGCTCCAAAATCGAAGAGGCACCGCCCTCCGAATCTCGAGAGCCAGACTCCCAACATGATTACTTCCTCAAAAATTGAAGAGACACTGCTCTCCGAATCTCGAGAGCCAGACCCCCAGCATGATTGCTTTCTCAAAAATCGAAGAGGCATCGTTCTCGAGAGCCAGATACCATAGACCACTTTTTCAAAGTGCTCTGACAGAGTTAAAACATGTGAAACTGGCAGCTCCCACTACCGTGCTATGACCAAGCAGGGTAAAGGAATAGCATTACTACTTGTTGTTAGGGAGACTCCTATATATGTCGACCTCCATCCCCAACGGACAGGCAGACCTGCAAAAATGCTCAACCCTTCATCATATCTGAGAGGGCACTCCCAACGAAGCCTTTCGAAATATTCAGCTTTCTTTCCCCCCGATAATACCTCTGCAAACAAGCTATACTAGAGCAAGAATATCTCATATCATCAGGGTTAAAAGCAAGAGTATCTCATATCATGCTTTTTCCCTGTCTTTTCCTTTGGCCTTGTTTTTACCTGCAAGACAAGGAGAAAGAGAGCAATCAGTCAGCACTTGGAATCAAGCTTCCAGCCAGGAACTGACTGCCTGGAACCCCTTACCTGATTACTTACCTGGCATTGCTCTCGAGTACTCATCTTCAACATCTTATGTTTCCAGGGAAGATTCCGCATCTGCTTGAGGAACAGATAGGGCAAGTGCGAAGGATACAAGGAAGCATGTGGAGACAAGCGTAACAGCACACGTGACGATACATCCATTACTCTGTCAAAAGCAAAAGTATCCCATATCAGCAGGGTGGAACGTACTCTAGATTTGATGGACTTGTTTTGACCCTCAAATTCTTCAGTCGGCCTTATACTCTGGAGGAAACCAGAAAACCCTCCAGCTCAGTTCAAGAATAAGCCTGTGGAAAGTTACTTCTTCAAAAGCAAAAGTATCTCATATCATCTCTTCTCATTTTTCTTCTCTTTATCCTTCATGCTGCTGCAAGATGGGGAGAAGGTGAACAATCAGTCGGAGCTCTGATTGCTTACCTTGTCTGTCACCTCTTTCAGCAGACCCCCTAGCTCGGCGACTTGGGGGACTCCTACTACATGGTTTGTATCGCGCTTGACCAAGCCTGAAACTACAAGTAAGCTTCAAGTGAAATTGATACATTACCTTGTGCATCTCCACCAGTTAAAGATACCACCCCTGGATGGAGGAAGAGTACTTCCAGAGAAGATGCCACATCTACCTATGAGACAAATAAGGCAAGTCAAGACGACACCACACTCCGATACTTAGAAGTTTCGTGATTACGAGATCATTCTCCCACAATATTTCCTAATGTCATTTGTACTAAATCATTCACTTGTACTCACTAAAGGAGAGCTTGAACCTATGTACTTGTGTAAACCCTTCACAATTAATGAGAACTCTTCTATTCCGTGGACGTAGCCAATCTGGGTGAACCACGTACATCTTGTGTTTGCTTTCCTATCTCTATCCATTTATATACTTATCCACACTAATGACCGGAGCAATCTAGCGAAGATCACAAAAAGCGACCGTTTTCGCTACCTAGGATCTATCTTGCAAGAGAACGGAGAATTAGATGGAGATCTCAACCATAGAATACGAGCTGGATGGATGAAGTGTAAGAGTGCATCCGGCGTGTTGTGTGTGACCGTCGTAGGCCACTGAAGCTCAAGGGAAAATTTTATAGGACGGCAATAAGGCCAGCGATGTTGTATGGCACAGAATGTTGGGCGGTGAAGCATCAACACGTACACAAAATGGGTGTAGCGGAGATGAGGATGCCTCGTGGGATGTGTGGGCACACGAGAAAGGATAAGATTGGGAATGAGGATATCCGAGGTAAAGTAGGAGTAGCCGAAATTGTAGGAAAGATGAGAGAAAATCGGCTCCGGTGATTTGGACATGTGCAAAGAAGGCCGACTGACGCTCCGGTTCGAAGATGTGACTACGGGACAGAGGTTCAGGGCCGAAGGGGTAGAGGAATACCTAGGAAAACTTTGGAAGAGACTCTAAGAAAAGACTTAGAGTACTTGGATCTAACGGAGGACATGACACAAAACCGAGCACAATGGCGTTCTAGGATTCATATAGCCGACCCCACTTAGTGGGAAAAGGCTTTGTTGTTGTTGTTGTTGTATTGTTCATTCACTTGTCAATACAACCAGTTGAGAGACAATTTTGGAAAATTTAGGTTTCCATATTTTTGACTGCTAAGATTAGGACTTATAGATAACAGTGATTGCATAAAATAAAATCACAATTTATAAAGAATCATAAGTTGTAACAAGATATTGCAGTTAACTCTGCTATAGGTATGAACACTTACGAGGCGATCAGCAAGCAAGTGATGCCAAGCAATTGAAGTCTATTCCTTTCAATATAATTGTGACAGAGAAACCAATCGATGAGATAAACTGTGAGGTAAAGCGTATCTGGCACCACCTTATATTCCTCTGACACCTGAAACCATTATCGTTTTGTCAAATTAACTCTATTAGTATTCACACGCTTTATATAAAGCATAATACATCATTATAGCATTGAATAAAAACTAAGATGCATTAATGTTCACGGCTATGTTCTGTAATGGAATAGGAGCTTCATGTAAGACTTATTCTGCAAGCTGTATGCAAATGTTACTAAACAAGTCATGAGTAAACAAAAATTACAGTACAAAATGCAAAAGACATAACAATCTTATAAGCAGGATAGCAATATCAGGTAAACGCAAATGCAATCTCCTTTACTAATAGTGAGCATTTCATAACATGAAAGTGAAATCACGGGCATTGTAAGGAAGTGTTTACTTTAGAGGACAAAAATAAGGCACCAAGCTATAAATAGATAACAGATTTTTTAATTTAAATTCCTCAGTTACCTTCCAGTAATACATAAGGCAATTACCGAGTCAAAAACTTGCACTGTATGGACCAGGAAACTGGTTATTGTTGATCAATCGGGAGTAAGGGTTATATAAATGCCATTGATATACTACTCAACTCTATACATACCATTTGGTAAGGGCACAATGTGGGACAAAGTTCAGAGCAAGATACAAACATTTTACCTACAATAACTTGCGTTCGTGAAGATTGAAAATTCAAGTTCAGTCCACCAAAGATAAATTTGAAAATATCCAAAATGAATTATTTCTATTTAAGTACAAAATGACAGTAATATCTTCACAATATAACTCGAAATTAGCTATACAAGGTAGCATCAACTAGCTCCCTAAACTGCAACCACTATTCATATCAGATAAATGAGCTATGTAGACTATCAATAAAAAAATACAAGATAAAAGAACCATGCGAACCTCTACAAGCCAATCGATTAAAATCCCCCTCATAGTTTTGGTGATATCTTGCTGTATTGTTTCCATAAAACCAGCATATGGCCTTCTTTCAAGCTGTCAAAAATAAAATTTAGTTTTCCTGATAGAAAGATGGAAGCTCAAAGGAACCAGCACTGAGTGCTATGTTGGAAACAAAATGAGAGCAAAAGATCACATGCATTTTAATAGGTTTGTGACCTTTGCTTGTGCCAAGAATTGCACGAAGTCAAAGAGCACTGTAGCTTAGCACAGCACTGCATTATCATTCGTAAATCAACCAATTATTTATGTTTCTAATTTGTTAAAGCTTATGAAAGACTAGTATCTATACCAGAACACACCATCATATGACAAAAGGCTTAGACAATCTAAAAAATAATAGCTTCAAAATGGTTTATTTTCTTAAGTGCCACCTCCTTTAACAGAATCTTTTGTTCCTTTAAAAATATGTGACATATACAACTTCACTTCATGATACAGCTTAATGCAGTTTGTTTTACATGTTTCGTACTAAAGATGAAATTGTAACCTGTGCCACTTGAATACATCATGTTCTGTTCCAACAACATCTATAAATAGTTTTCATTTTGTTATCAAAAGATTCTATCTCAAAGGAAAATTTCCGGTTATTTTCATTGCACAGTATGGAAAGGAACCATCTTTAATATCCTTTATGGCTGATCTATTAACCTGTACGAGGCGATCAACAAAACAATGTTCTAATGAAGATAGGAGGCTAAATAATACAGCTTGCCGGAAATCATGTATCAGATTTTCAGATGAGTCTTAAGTACCACTACATCATTGTGGTTTGAGGCCATTATGCTTGTTAAGCTAGATAATTTAATGCGTCTTAAGTATCACTACTTCTTGTCCATAAATGTGTAGCTTTGGTATCCAATTGATAAATTAATCACTGTAATGCATACATATTTAAAATACTGGTGCTCCTAGAAAGGGACTGCCGTACATATAAAAAAGCTTCAACAGCACAAACCTCTGCAACAGATAAATGGTTATAGATGTCAGGGGCATAGAGGCTACACAATAGAGGGTCCTTGTAATCTGCATCAATGTTAACAATATGCTGGTTGCCTGATGTAACCGTGTCCGCTGAAAGACTACCATTGTCTGCTGCAACAATACAATACTAAAGGTCACAAACTACTGCATACTAAAGCCATAGAAGATCCTAAAAGAAACATTATCATCTGGCATCTAGCACTCAAGTAGCTCAGAAAATCATTGTATTGCATTGACATGGATCAACTGTCTTCAGAAGTACAAAGGGTCATATATTGTCACGACACAGTGAAGCAAACTATTGGAAGAGGAAGATTTATATAGTAATTTGTGAATCATGTTGAACCACAACTTCTTTCTCGTCATTATCCAATAACTAGTTTAATGTAATTCTCAAGGACAACAACTCTCATGAACATAAGCAGTACACCATCAAACCTTCCAGTGTGTATTTGTTCAAGCTTTTGGAGTTGGATTGAGTTTACAGAAAACATATGATTATGTTCTATTTTAGTGGTTAATGCATATGACCTCATTGCTAATAGGAGAAATGAATGAAACCTCCTCAGATAAAACCTTCCAAGCTCATATAGCCCTTGAGCGCTCTGCAGTATATAACAACTACTGAATTATGGTAATTACAACTAATCAGCAAAGTGATGTCTAATCATGCTATTTATCAGCCTCTTATCCTTTGTACATTATGAGTAAGTGAAATGGAAATACATTGATATATAAACTCCTATGTAGTGTTACTCTTTTTTCGCATTTCAACTCAAACTTGCATTGATTTGTCATGTTTGGGGGAGAGAAAATTAAAGAAATGCAAACCTTTATACGCAGGGCTTTGGAACTTTGGATTCACTCCAGAACTACGATTTTCCAACGGACGAACATCTTTCACATCCTTAGTTGACCGCATAAGTATGTTGCCATCTTCCACATTGATTGAGCGGCAAAATTCGTCTGATTTAATTTCTGGTTTTACTGTTCCCTGCACAACATTGGTTTTTGAATCTACAGCAACAGAAGGGGCCATTTCCGTCAGCTTTGCCTGACCCTTTTTAGCTGGCTTACTGTTTTTAGCCTGCATTAATTAGAGGCAGTTTTTGAGGGATAAAAAATAGTAAAGTTCATGATGTGAATATATGGACATATATGCATACAAAACTTTGCTACAAGGAAGATACTGGGAAATGGAAATTATAATCTGGAAATGGTCTTTCAAGCGTATTAATACCATGAATAATCTAAAGAATTGCAACTAAAATTAGCAGTACACTAACATAGACCAAGCGTTTCTGTATTTACTCAACATTTATGAGGAAACCTGACTATTTATTATGGAGAAAATCTAACTAGCAGGCTATTGACCTGAATTTTAGTTGCATTGATGCAGTTTCCATATGAAGGTTTACAGAGAGCGTTGGTCACATCTTGAAGTACTGCCCTCCTCTTGCGTTGGATACATGCATTACCAGTAGCTTTTGTATTGTTCTCATCCGTGGAAGCTCTCTTTGAATTTGTTCGCAAAGCCTGCTTCTGATTCTGTTGTGTGGGTGGTTTTGGTGGGGGAATATGTCCAGATGTATGAAGTGCAGCAGCTCGAGCACGTGTTATTCTACCAGGAAGCTCCCTAACATTTGCGGTGACCATATTTTCTCTCTTCATGTTAGCAGAGTTTAGAGAGAAACAGCTCAGCACATCAAATGGAACCAATCAATGTGATCTGCAATAAAACCAGGGCCAAGTAAATTCAAGAACAAGCGGAATAATTAGCATGAAACTACCACAGATTAACAATTCAAGCAGGAAGTATGACATTTGTAAGGTGATATTCAGGGCTACTGTTATGCAATGCATCTCATGAAATTCAAAACCACGATAAGCACGAAAATACGTAAATCAAGAGTCTTTTTTATTTTAGTGCGGTAGAACAGTACAATATGTTGGTGGAAAAAAAGTTATTCATACAAAGGTGCACAAAATTTGAATCTGATACAAACATGAAATAAAGTTATTCATACAGTACACAAGATCACGTCCGTATCAGGATATAAGAAATATGTGAATGATGATCAATGATCATAGAAGTCAAAGTCCCAAATGATCTTTCTAAGTAAACTCCCAAAGTGCCAAATTACATGGATAATTATTAAATTAACCATTTTTGTCACAAAGTACAGATCAATGGAAAATATTGATTCAGCTTATACCCAAATGTATATATATATTCAAATTTCAAATGATAGGCATGTCGAGAAAACTTTGGAAAACCATCATGCCAAGATTTTTTTTTCTGAAAAAACGGAAAATTTGATGTTCAATGGATTTCATTCAGACTAGTACATTGGCCATAATAATCAAAAGTATGAATGAAATGTAAGGAAAATCCAGAGAAAAGCATGAATATATAGCTAAAAATCATTCAGCCCCGTAAATTCGTTTTCAAGGAAACAAACTACAATCTGGAATTTTCAAATTTCAGCTACTCAGATCAGACAGAAGTGGGATCAAAAACATGTAAAGGACTTAAAAACTGAGCTCGTTTGCTTTTACCTACAAATTCTCAGCAATCAAGCAAAAGCATCGAGCTGAGTTCTTCCAGTTGCAGATAAAATCATTTTTTGCTATGAACCCAATTTTTAAAATTTCAGGATCTCTAAAGTTTACACCTTGACCCGTTTGATCCCCAAGAAAATGGGAGAATACAAAAGAAAATGTGAGCCAAGTTGGAAATTTCTTGGAAATTTCTTCTTTTTTTATACAAAAAACCAAATAGAAGAAGTAAAACCCAGCTTCTGTTAAGTGGAAATTTTCATCAAAAATGAAAAATTAAAGAAAGAAAGAGTCTTGAAACATTGATTTATTTCCTTTTTCTTTCCCCACATTTTCTCACTAACCAAACATACATTGGTCGCCCAGAACAATGTCAAACGACCCAAAACTCGAAGAATTTCAAAAAATGGAAACAAACCCAGAAACCCTAATCGATTCGTCTCCAGAACAAAACAAAAAAATTGAGGAAACCCCTGAATTACATACATAGATTTTGACATGTATAGACACACACATTGCATTGTTGGGCTGAAGATTGACCTGAAGGAATGAATCTCTCTCCCCCCTAAAAGCTCCAAAGGCCTCCAAGGAGAGGTGGAGAGAGAAAGCTCTGAGCTTTACAGAGAGAGAGAGTGGAAGAGTGAGCGGGATTGGGCACAATTTGAAAATCTGACACAGAAGCAAAGTGGAGGTAGTTGTTGCTGCTGGTTAATAATGTTTAATGGAAAAATTAAATTGGAAAATGAAAACTGATTTAATAGTAAATAAATATATTTAAAAATTAATAATATTGTCTGCGAAGGGTTTTGACCGGTTTGACTGCAAAAGGTTAAAACACTGTTCATTGAGTGCGTGGTTTAGCTTTGTTTAATTTTTTTATTTTATTTTGATTTAGTTGAGATTTACGCCTTGTATGGTTGAGGATCATCTGGTAGTTTTTGTGGTGAGATTTCAAATTTTAATTGCTGTTAGAAATTATTCAATTTCAATTTACCATTAAGCTGTTGGAACTTGGAAGATAGATTTTCACTTGGTAAAAGTTGACTTGTTCAAAACTTCAAAATTTGTATTTGGATTTGAAGGGATTTTTAGAGTGAGGAGGAGATCAAACTTTCTCCATCCAAAATAAGGTATCTCTTTGGTCTCGTTTGTCAGCTCGGACTGTGCTGACTATTTCAATCGGATAGGATAATTTGTCATCGGATAGTACTGACTATTTAGTCGAGTGAACTGACTATTTAATCGGACGTTTGGTGCAGTACCGGATTAAAAACTCAATTCATCAAAGATTATCATGCTCATTTACTTCTTCAAAAGGAGATTGAATAACATTTACGACACTGAGTTTCACAAAATTAAAACTAGCAAGAGAGATGGAAAAAGAGTCAGCTTGATTTTGTTTTTAGCGACCCGACTAATTAATATCGACGATTTGGAGTCTATAAGTTATCCGGCATACGTCGTATAAAATGGGCCGAACCGCATAAATAATTTGGTGCTAATTTAATACGGAATGACACCAAACACCGGATAGTATTAAATAGTATTATCTGGTGTATTATCTGGCATGCCAAACACGCCCTTTGTGTTTTTGCTAGCCGTCGACCTCTGGTCATAGCTAGAGTCGACAACTATGAGATGGACGGATCCGAAAAACCCTCACACACGAGAAATTTTTTTTTTTTTTTTGTTGGGAATAAAATAGGGTTAAGTAAATTTTAGCAATAGTGCCTCAACTTTAATCAAATTGGAGAAATGGTTCATCAACTAAAAATCCATTATCATTGGTCCCTCAACTTATCAAAATGTGTAGTTATAGTTCTTTTCATCAATTTCGTCAAAATTTTGTCAAAATAAGTTATGTTGGAATAACCAGTTATATAATTAGGGTCCCGCAACTCATCAAAGTGTGTAATTATGATCTTTTTCGTCAACTATATCAAAAATTTTGTCAAAACGAGTTATGTTGGAATGATCATTTCTACAATTGGGTTAGAGTTAAGGGACCATTTCTCAAGTTGAATTAAAGTTAAGGGACTAATGATAATAAATTTTTAGTTAAAGAACAATAGTTACAATTTACTCAAATAGGTTTCAGGCTAAAAAAGTAAACTCACTATCACTATCGACAAATGCAGGTCAAACTTAGAGAAGAGGGTAACTCTCACTCATAGGTATCCTCTCTTCTCTAGGTTTCGTGATTCTTCAAGACTTGTTTTCTTCCTATTTTTTAGTTTAATCACTCACTCATTCTCCCTTAAGTATCCAAATTTTGGTTTAATTTATTTTCATTTTGTTTGACGTCTTCAAATTTGGTGTATCCACCTTATACTGATCGTATATTTACCGTATGATACCCGTATATTGTTGATATATTCAGTGTAGTCCATAGATAGGCAGTAGGAAACCTTTTTTTTATATTTAAAATAGAGACCGGTTGATGGCTTCGTCACGACAGTCTACCATTCCGTGAGCAGGGAAGACTCACTAAGGCTCTTTTACAATCCGTAATCAAAATGAGAAGAATTGAATTGAGGAATAGTTGGAATGAGAAGATGTTAGAATATCATATTGTAATTGTTTACTAAAGTATTATGGAATCAGATAATGAATGATAATAATTTCATATAAGTTGGTTACTAATCTACTTGAATCGAAATTAAAAAAAAAAAAACTGAAAATGAGAGTTTTCCCCTTAAAACTTATTTTCTCTCACTTAAAACCCATCCTCTTTATTTTTTCAGACATAAACCCCATTTACTAGAGTCCAACTAAGCAAATTTCCTTAACAAGCTTGGTATGTCAGTTTTTATAATTCTCGTGTTCCTAAAATACTCTTATAAAGTGTAACATGGGTTAGGTTTGACTTATAATTAAGGGAACTTTAACGAAAAGCTCCCGGTACTGTTCACTTTAACGAAAAACCACATTTTTACATTAAAAAATCAATACTGGTACTATTCACTTTACCCTTTATTTTGTCCTTAGCATTAAAACTCAAAGTTTTCAAACCTTTTTCATTAGTTTTCCTTATAATTAATAATAAATTTTTCATTTTATTATTTTCAATGCAATTAAATGTCAATTAACCTATTATTTGATTAGGCTTTTTTTCTCAAATTTTTTTACCAAAAATTGTTTTATCATGAAACTAGCTTACCTTATTAGCATGCAATATATAATATAAAAAAAATTATGGTGTTTTACGTTGAGACATGGACAAAAATAATTTCTGTCAAAAAAATTATACAAAATAATGGTTGTTTTTTTTTCTTTCCATAGAAAATAATTTACCTATCTATATGTTAGTACCCGCTTAGAATAGACATTCTGTAAAAATAATTTACCTACCCCATAGGTGTGATATTGTAAAGAAAAATTGTATATGATTACTTTGGATATTATAAGTAATAATATGACAGAATTATTTGTATAGGTAAATTAATAAGTAGATTGGTAAATTAGTATTTACTAAAAAAATGCAAATAAATTAGCTTGTAACAAAAGAATGTATGTAAATTAGTGATTTTTTTTTTAAATATAGGTAAATAGTTTGTATAAAAAAAATGTAGGTAAATTAGTGAATTTTTAAAATATAGGTAAATAGTTTGTAATACGTGGTTTTAAACAGGAGCTCAATTGCTCATTGCTAGTATAATTGAAGGTGAGTAATAATAATATTTATTGACATATTTAGGTAATTGAAGGTGAGTAATAATAATATTTATTGACATATTTAGGTCATTGTGGCATATGTTGTAAATATTTTATAAGGATATGTCATTTATTTGCCAACATGGCAGACTATTTGAATTTTGGATTTTATTTGGATGTTTAATATGAGGTGGGTTTTTGTCTAGACAATATTAGTTACAAGGGCCTATATCTAAACAATCCTAAAAAACAATTTAATTACTAGAATACCCTTGTCCTAAATTAATTATTTTATCTACTAATTAATAAAAAACAATCAAATGCATTTTTTACCAATATTAAACATACTACCATGTACATTAAGGCCTCGTTTAGCAGCTCAAACTGTACTACCTATTTGAGTCAGATATGATAAATAATCACCAAATAGTACTGACTAAATTAATCTGGCGTATGATGTAATATTGGACTAACGACCGTATTATTTATATTGTGTTTAGTACTATACAAAATAAAAGGAATTGAAATATTATTACTTTTTTAAGATAAAAATGGATGATTAATGGAAAAAAGGGATTTTTTTTGCACTTAATAATGGATCAAATTAAAAAAGAACAAAATCTTCCTTTATTTAAATCAAGTTACTTAAAATACAACTAAAAAAATTGAAATCATCTCTTCAACTTCCCCATATCTCTCCGCCGCACTGTCCCCCAACAACCTCAATTCTCCTTACAATTCTTGGCCTAAAGAGGCATTGCTAGAAATGCACCGTCAAGCAGATCTTCCCCCCCCCCCTCTAAACATTTGAAACTAATCCAAAAAATACCCAGAAACTAAGGAAATTAAATCACAATCAGAAAACAAAGAAAGGGGAAACAGGCAAATCGTAAAACCCAGATGAAATCTTTCCGAATTTTCAAATCCTACAATCGATTCCAAGTCAAGGTTCAAAAACCCAGATGAAATCTTTCTGAATTTGTGCGGTGGTGGTGCGATTGGTCTCTCTGTGGGTGTCTGAATTAAACCAAAAAAATGGCAACGGGAAGAACAGAGCCGGAGAGATCAGCGCCGGCCAAGGAGGACAGAGCCGATGAGAGGAGACGAGGAGAACAGAGCTGGCCAGAGGAGAACAGAGCTGGCCAAGGGAGACGACGAGAACATAGCCAGCCAAAGGAGACGGGGAGAATGTAGTCAGCGAGAGAATGAGACGGCGAAGGAAGCGAGAGAGAAAGCCCAGTTCGCGCGAAACACCCGACTCTGTATTAATAATTCTATATACGGCGTATCAAACAAGACCTAAAATCTTTTTCCATAATTTTAATTATTCCAATATTAAACAAATTACAATGCATTTGTTCTAAATTAAATGACAATTGATAAAAGGATAATGCTAGACAAATTAAATTTTAAACTAAATTTGTAAATTAAATGATATATCATCAATAGGAAATAAACACTTTAATGTAACAATGAAGTAAATAATCAAATCATCAACAAATATATCATATGATTCACTATCTTCGCCGACCCTTCTACTGTTGGTGGTTGTGCTATCTGCGTGAGTCTCGACGTAAAGTCGATTGTCCTCGTCGCCGATTATGAGATGTCTCTCGACCGTCATAACTCACAACGTCGTTCAAGCCAAGCGTATGTGAAATCCAATGAGTAGGTGAAGTTCAAAGATCTTAGATCTGGTTTTTGAGCAGGTCGCGTACTACCAGTGGGGATGATGTCTGGGGTAGAGGGGGTCTTGGCTGATAGGTTGTCGGTTTCTTTTTTTTTATTTGAATTTTTTTTTTAATTTTGAATTTTTTTTTGTTGAAGTTGGAGGATGGGTGCAATGATTCTATATACGGTGGCTGCTACATTTGTTGTGGTTTTAGGAGGGGTGATAGGCGTGGTGGGTATGATTGTTATATGTGCCCGTTCATGGTGTTTGACTTTTAAATACACTTTGACTTTGATAAACTCAATTAAAATTCTTAGTTAATACTTCTAAATTTATATGAACTTTTATAAACCCTCTTAAAATGATA